TGTGCAGCCAGAAGGAAGTCAGCCAGAAGTGAGAAACAGCTCTTCCCCTTCTTTCCAGTCAGGGCTCTGGGCCAGGGGAGAGACAGCACCACAAAATCAGGGCACTGGGCAGTTGGGTTCAGCCTGTGGGGAAGCCCAAGGTCTGCCTGTGCAAAGCTGGCAGATCTGGAGAAGGGGATTTCACGGAGTGCTAAGGAGGCAAAACCCCCTGCTCCAACAGAGAGGCACAGGGGAGAGCTCTGGTTGGGCTCAGTGCTTAGCTCAGGTCCCAGGACTGGTATGACCAGCTCACAGTCCAAACCACAGCATCTCCCACACGGGCAGGAGAGCAGTGGGCTGCCAAGCCAGACCTGGGGAGCCTGGATGCAGCCTGGCTGTGCTCCCACTTGGAGAACACAAAGGTTGCCCTTTGGTGGCCATCAGTAACCTTTTGACATCCTTTGCCTCGGGTGGTTGCCCAAGCAGGGAGCAGCCAGGGCAGCTGCAGGTCCTCCCTAAGCGTTGAGCAGCTCCTGGACCACACACAGGTCCTCCCTGCAGCAGATCCCAGCCCTGCCCAGATGCTGAGTGGCCAGCACTGCCTGTGACAGTGGAGACACCACGTTGTCTGCAGACCTGCCCAAAGTGGGCCAGATATTGCTAAGAACCAGATTTCACGGGCCAGCACATGGGTTGCTGGGGTCCCAGCATAGATCCCATGTTTCGCTCAGAGATCTGAAGTCTCTGGGACATGCCAAGATGGATCTAGTTGGCTTTGGCAAAGGCAGGGGACTCCTCCAGTGTGGCTCCAGCAGCACTTTGGAGAGATGACTCTTGCAGGGATAGGAGAGAAGCCAGCTGATGCTGGGAGGCGAGCAGCATCCCATCATTCCTGTCTTTTCCTCCTCCATGGATTGATTGCACCAGAACTGCAAATCTTGCCCGTAGCATGCCCTTTCCCACTCCTTCTGTGCTGGCTTGCTGGCATCATGCTGTTACTCTGCAGCATCTCTGAACAGCTGCAGCACCTGCCTCCATGCTCTGTCAGAAACCATGCTGAGGGCAAAGGGAAAAAGCAGAGTACAGACTAAGGTACCAAAGAGTTATAACATTTTTCTAGGTTTACAGATGTACTTGTAGGATTTGTACTATGTCACATCTATAGCCGTGAGATATTATTTTTATGCTGTAAACTTTTACAAATACTTTTTTTTTTTTAAAAAGAGTTTTAAAAATAAAGGTGTTTTTCATTTTGCAAAGTTCCACCTCTTCTTTCCATTTGCCTGGTTTTGGTTGCTCCCGCTCAGGCGGGGCTGGGAATACAGCTTAACCATGTCGTGGGGGAAGGTTAAGCACGTTAATACTCTGTGCATGACCCCAGTGCTCAGTGAAAGCCAAGCTGGGAGCCGGGTGGAGAGAAGCACAGCAAGGAACAGCTGAGCCTGGAGACATGGTAAGGAAAAGGGGCTGCAAGCAGGGCAGGATCTCTCTGGTAACTGGCCAGCCTGTGGGGCATGTTGCAGGTGCATAGAGGGAAGGATGCTGGGAACTGTTCCCATGTATATCCCCAGTGCCAGGGGTTTGGGCCAGCAGCCCCAAACTAAGGACTTGACATGCTCCTGGGGTCTGTGCTCAGATTAGGGTAGAGATACAGGAGATGCCAGGCTGAACAGTGGCCGGGCTGAAGGAGATGGGAGACACCACAGCACTGTTGATTTTTCCTCATAGTTTAATATCTCAGGGCAGTGGGAGAGACTGGAGGCAGCAGTGGGGCAGGGCACAAGCAGGACATGGCAGTGCACAGGGCTCCTCAAGTCCAACTCTCCTCCCCTCCCTCTAGGACGAGGAATTTGCTGATAACCTTAAAAGATGCGACTCCAAAGTACTGGCTCCCACACCACCACTCCCTCAGACCCACAGGTCCCCCTGCTGCCCTCACCTTTCCCCAGTCACCCCTCCAGGGACACTGATGTGACCCAGCCCCATGACAGACAGGCACCTCCTGAGTCCAGTTTTCTCCTCTCTCCTCTCCAATTAAACTGCTCCTCTAAAAGTGACCCCAGGCAGAGCTGTTTGCAGCTGCTCTGAGCCATGTGCTTGAAAAGCACAGGGTTGCTGTGAAGAGGGATTTTGACCTGATGTTCAAGCATATTGATGCTGACTCTCCTTTCAGGCTGCATGATGCAGCCTCCACTGGCAGCAATTGTGCCTCCTTCAGCTCCTGGAAACCCTTTGTGTAGCCAAGGGCCCAAGGCACCCACTACAGAGTCTGATGCCAGTCACAGCAAGGCTCTCCTTTCCAGCTCAGCCTGTCCTGGGTTCCTGCCTTTGTTCATTTTGCCAGAGAGGAGGTTTGCAGGCTCCCTGACCAGCTCAGGCTGATTCTCCACAGATATGCTCTGAGTCACCTGGCACGGCTCAGTAGGGACATTTTTCTCCAGGAGCTGAATCAGCAGGGGAAAAAAAAAATCACCTGGTCTCCAGAGAGGCTTCAGCAAAAGCCTGGGGTGAAGCAGATAGAGGGAATTGATTGATCTCAGCCCTGAATCCAGCGGGCTCCCACGGCCCGATCCCTGCCTGGCAGGCCTTTTGCATGTTGGAATGCACTGAGGAGAGGGTCATAGAGCTGGAAACCAGTAGGCAGACATGGGGACAACCAGCAGGGCATTTTCCCCATCCCAAAATAAGTCTCCTCTGCAGTGATGAGACAGGCACCTCATGGAAGAGCTCAGGGAAGCAGAGAATCTCAGACTGCAGCATCAAACCCTGGCCTGCTGTAGCCAGGATTTGTAGCTGTTTGGGTGCAGACAGCTCAGCACCAGCAGGACATGGGTGTTCCACACTTGTCCCCAGACTGGTACAGGGCAGTTCATGCAGGCATGACACCATGGCCAGCTGTGCTCATTGCAGGGGAATAGCCCAGCCCTGCTCCCAGCCTGGGAAGCAAGCCCAAGCTTTGAGTGCTCCCAGCCAGGGCTCACAGCAGCCTCCATTCCCCCTTCCACAGCCAGGCTGTGGCTAACCAGGCACTGAGCAAGTCAGTCCTGGCCATCAGGGCCTCCACAGACATCCCTGGGCTTCAAGGGGCTCTAAGTAAGGCTGCAGCTCCTCTGAGAACGTCCCTGCCCCGTGCTCAGAGCTGCCTGGGCACACGAGCCCCATCAGCACTTCTGTGGCTGAGCTGCTGCTTTCACCCACAGGATTTGGAGTGCAGCCTGCAGGCAGGAAGAGAGAGTCACCAAAAAGAGAGGGACCCCAGAAGACAGCTTGTCCCAGTGAGAATCCCCAGGTGTGCTCAGTCCAGCCTGGGGACTCATGAGTCCAGGCTGTCACCTTGGGACCACTGCCCTCAGAGATGCTCTGCAAGAGACCCTCTCAGAGAGAAGAAGGGAGGCTGAGAGACTGTTCCCCTTCTCTGTATTAAACCTGTCTGGTTTAATACTTGTTCACATTGGTGAGTCAGTTATGTCTGAGCTGGCATTTGTTCCTGGAAAAAAAAAACAAAAATAAAAAAAAATTACTTGAAAAGAAGAAGGAGGGAAACAAACATCCTTTAAAAAAGCCCCTTTGGCTTAAAAGGAGGAAAGACTAATCAGGCAGACATCTTCTGTGGCCCAGCTGCTCCACAGCCCCCCAGCTCTGGGCAGGAGCCCCCCAGAGCACCACTTTGCCTCCAGTTTGTGTTCTTCTTCCTTGCATCCTGCCAGGAAAAACTGCTGAGAGGAAACGTTCTACAGCCAAAAGCTGTCTTTCTTTCTCCCTGGACTCCCTCGCGCTCTCCAGCCATCCTCTGGCCAAAACCAAGAGCTCTCTCCACATCCCCATGACTCTTAGTCATCTCCAGCACCGTCAGCTGTGCTCTCATCTCCTGGACCCAAGGCTTTGTCTTGCTGGTGCCTCTCTAACTGCCCCCTTTGGAGAAGCCCAATCCCCTCCAGTCCGTGGTGTGGAAGTGTGCAGGGCGTCCCTGCTGCCTGGCACCTTGGCATTGCACATGCAGATTCAGCAGCCACCTCTGTGCATTTTGGAACAGCGTTCCTCTTTCTGCCCACGCTGGTGTCCCAGTCACCTCCCCACTGCTGGGACAGCTGGGAGCAGCTGGCAGAGCCCCCCGGCTGGACCTTCCTCCCCTGTGCTTCCTTCCCAGCACTGTCAGGTGGTGGCTGTCACTTCCCACCCCAAAGCTGCTGTGAACAGCCCTGAACTTCTGCTGCAGCGTGAGGTTATCCAGAGGCAGAGCAGAGAGCAAGGGGCACCCGTGTCTGGCTGGACCTGCTGATCCTGCAGAGTTGAGCGTCCCTGGGAGAACTGGTTTGCCTCGAGGCTACCTTGTCTTGGAAGAGCCACTGTCTAGTGGAGGGTTAACAAAGTGTCTAATTTACTAATTACTAACACTGCTAATTAGCTTACTAACTGCCTAATTACTGATTGAAAGTGCCTGCCAGGTTGTCAGCTGTAAAACAGCTTCAAGCAGCCTCCCCGCTAGTGAAGCAGCATGGATGGGTGGGATGGGCTATGGGGGAGGAGGGGTCCTTGTTTGAGCCCTGGGACTGCCTGGTGGTGACAGGGTTGCTGTGAGCCCCATGGTTGGAGGTGCTGAGAGGTTCCCAGCTCCCCCCATGTGTCCCCCAGCCCAGCAGGGAGGGGTCTGCAGGCTGGACTGTAACATGTCTCCCTGCTGGGAAGGGTGGTGGAGCTGGCATGAGGATTGAGGGTGATCCTGTGTGGCCACAGGACCCCTGTCTGCACTGGGGATCACACACTTGGTCAGCACAAAATAATTTGACATCTCCACAGGCCTTTTCCCACCTGGGAGCTGCTCCAGGCTGAATTGCATCTTGGGCTTGTTGCAAGGGAATCTGCCGTGTTCTGTGCGGGTCCTCAGGTCCCAAAGCCAGCAAGAGCCACGGGGTCTGAGGTAAAATGTGTCCTGCAGAGGTAAAATGGAGTCCACTGCCCTCAAGGCAGGTCCCAGTCAGGCACTTTGTGTCTCCATGCAAGTGGAGAGGGTACAACACCCTGTGTTATGGGGTGGCAGTAGCCAGAGCACATTGGGATTGTCCTGAATCTCAGCATAGTGCAGTGGTCCCTGTCAGCCCTGGGGAGTGAACTGGGCTTGGGCCCTTTCCTGAGGCTGGGGGTGACCCCAAACAGTGGGGGGTCCCTGCAGTGGGGTGCGTGCATGGCCCCACCTCTGCCACGGGGGTGTGACACCGGTGACGTATCAAAGCATTGCCTGCTTTTCTTTTTTTTTTTTTTTTCCCCCTCCTGTTTCAAAAACAAACAAAATAGGGAATTTGTTAACTTGTGGTCAAGTCAGAAAGGAGAAGCTCCTGCCAAGGGAGCGCTGGGGACGGTGCCCGCGAGGAGAGGCACCCGCTGCTCGAGAGGATCCTTCAGCTGCGTCCCCCCTCCAGGCTGGGGTCACCACGGTCCCTGGGGACATGTGTCCTGCTCTCCTCCTGCTGCTCAGCACAGCTGGCTTCTGGCATGGTAGGTACCCTGACTCACAAAGCACCCCCAGTGCCTCTATGTCACTCTGGGGTTATTTTGGGATGTGGTGAGGATTTCCCAGGTGTTGGGTGTGAGCGCTCCAACCCTCCTCAGGTGAGGAGTCATGACGGCCTTGGTGGGGATGGAGCAGTGCTGAAGGTGGAGTAACAGGTGCCCATCTCCTGGAGGTGGAGGGTGAAGCTGGGCTCCCAGTGGTGTCTCCCAAAAGGCTGTTGTGGGCTGGGACAGTCCCTGTTTCTGGAGGTTGCTGCACGAAGCAGCCACTGCTGTGGGCAGGTTCAAGGAGCCTCAGCACAGGTAGGGAGAACATCTGCTCTCTGGCACAGAGCATGGTACTTAGTGCAGACTTGGCTGTAGCAGCTTTCTGAAGGCCATCCAGAGCTGTCTGCAATTACAGAGGGAAGGCAGTGGTGGAAAAAGGGTGTGTTTCTGGTCTGTGTTGCCTCTGGAGCCCAGCTGTGCCGAGGGCTTGCTCAGCGCCTGCAGTGCTCACTGCCAGGGTAAGGCCAAGGAGGATGGAAAGGTGCACATAGCATAGGAAGAGCCTTGGCAGTGGGGAGATGGGAAAGGGAAACTTCTGTCTCTTTGGGTCTGGAAAGGGTTTAGGATGAAGGAACAGTTCAGCAGAAAGTGTGTCCCGAGGGAAACTGTCTCCAAAATAACCCTTTGCTTAAACAGGGCAAGAGCTAGAGGTGCTTGGTCTGCAGGTGAAAGAGTCAGGAAAATCAGCTGCACTGGCACCTCCCAAAGCACCTCCTGCCCAGCTGGAGTGTCTGAGGATTGCTGGTTTCTGGTGCTGCTGGCATGCACAGCAGGGGTGTAGGGCCAGGATGTGATGGAAACAGAAGTCGGGCAGCCAAGAAGGAAAAGGTGAATACTCCTGTTGTTTTTTGAGGCTGTGGAGGTGGCCAAGAGGTAATAACCCATCAACCTCAAAAGTCACTGGGCCTGTTTTGAGGTTTACAACCAATCAGATAGAAACCAGTATTACTAATCTTGCATTTTGAAGTGCTGGCAGCCTCTCAGGTCCACTCTCCTTCATTTTCCTTTTGAGTTTGCTTGGGGAGACAAGGAGAGTGTGGTGTGAGGTCCTCCCTGCAAGAGGTAACCTGGAGGGAAAGCACTCAGCATGTAGCAGGGAGGCAGTGTATCCCTCTTGAGCCACTGCAGCACTCATATTTTCAGCCCAGGAAATTTGCATCCCTCTCACTGTTGCACTGCATGTTGTTGCACTTCAAGTCCTGTCTTCAACCATGCTGAGCAGGCTTTTTCCAGGTCTGCTGTGCTGGGAACTGAGTTGTGAAGGCTGCAGGGGTTTTAATTTCTCAAGTGGTTTTTTTGAGGTTATAGGAACTAGACAGGTCTGATACAGATTTGTGAGAGTTCATAACAATTAGCTGTCAGGATCTCTCCGAAGGTACCTTGAGACAGTGGGCAATGCAGGTCACCAGCTGGGACATCTTCATCAGGCACTGTCTGTCATGTCAGGCTGTTAGACACACATTTGTGTGAGCACCAGCACTGCTGCCCATCTGCAGCACAAAGCTGCATCATTCCAAGGGTCTCCACAGTAATAGCCTCAAGCTGGAGTCAGAGCCTGACTTCCTTCTCCTACCTCTTGGATTGCAAATGCGTCTTCTGAGAGTACCCAGGGCTGATGTGGTGTGACCATCGTGATCTGGGCTCTTGCTGAGGGATTGTAAGGGCTGAAATCCCAGGTTCAGATCAAGCAGAGAAAAGATTTTTGAGCCTGATCACCTCACATCTGTGTTCTTGGCCATCTCGACAGGCCTTCCCGGGGTTTTTGGTTTCTTTTTGTTTTCTTTGGATGATCTAAACCTCTGAGATAGAAAACCCAAAGCAGAGCTGTGATGAGCACACTTTCCTCCTCCCATGGCCCCCCCAGATATTGTAGGTCACTCTGGGGAAGGGGTCCTTAAAAAACAAACTTTTCCCTACCATCTTTGAGGAGGGGACAGAAGGAGCTCAGGTATCATATGGTTCCCCCTCAGGGCCAGACCTTAGCCTGGTTATTCCTCAGGACTGAGCCAAGATCCTGATGACTGGCTTCCTTGGTAAAGGGCCTGAGCATTTCTGTCTTATCAGCCTTCACTTCTCCTTCCTCACCAAACCCTCAGCAGAGGGAAGCAATGTTTTGGCTGACATGGGAGAGGCAGGGACAGAGCCTGTGGCTGTAAGGAGAGGTCAGGGTTACACAACCCGAGTGTGGTAAAACCTCTGGCCAGCAGTTACTGGCAGAGCTGCGGAAGCTGCTGGAGAGCGGCAGAGAGACATCCTCGGGCTTCGTGCAAGTTGCACCCTGGTCAGCAGGGAGAGAGTCTCCCCAGCAGCCCTGTTTCCCCATTCTGGAAAAGGTCCTGCTGGTCTGACTCATCCCCCCAGCACACATGAAGGAGTGGGTGCTTGGGTGACCTTCACCTCACCTTGTCCTGCGTTTACTGTGTCTGATTTGTCTGTCCTCACTCCACCTGTGTTGGTGGTTGTGTTGTTGGTGGGAGCCTCCAGTGACAGCCTGAAGGCTTCATCCTCAGCATTCTGGAGAGCACCTACCCAGACCCTCTTCTGGCCACAGCATCTTGGTAGTAAGTGTAAGTTGGTGACAGCAAGGATGCAGAGTGATATGACTCTTGTTTGTTTTGGTTTTTCCTGCTGTGGGCAAACCAAGGACCGGTTACAACACAGTCTTTCCCTGAACCAGTCTGAAAGCAGCTGTGAGTCAAAGAGCTTGGCTCCCCATGAAATGATGCTGAAGCCCTGGATGTGGAGGGATAGCCAAAGCAGAGAGGTGACAGAGAAGGATCCACTGACAGAGAATTAAAGCAACAGAAAGGTCGAGTCCCAGTAGAAAACACAGCTTAGCAAAAAGGAGAGGAATGTTGTGCCACGGATATGTGGAAAATGTGGCTTTGCAAATGATTCTGGGATGTGTTTTCCTCCACTCGGGGAATAAATGAGGCTTTTCCTCTTTCCACAGGTAGATAAAAACATCACACACCAAAAAAAAAAAAAAAAAAAAAAAAAAGGAGGGGAGATAAAATGTCAACTATTCCATTCTCTGAAGATTCTTGTCCTCTGCTTCTTCCCAGAGGGTCAGTGAGTTTGATCTGGACCTTGTCTGAGTTTCCCTGTGACAAGTGTGTCATTGCCACACATCAGCAATGCTCTCCAGGGCCTTAAGTCTTATATTCTCAACCTTTTGTTGTATGGAGGGAGGCATCAGCCCCAGATGGCTTAAATGATGTTTTGTGGGCTCTGATGTGAGGGCTCTGGGTGTTACAGCCCTGAGCTGGCAGCACAGGACACACATTTGTACCTTGGCCATCACAGTCTTCCTCACCAAATGATCTGTGAGCAGGGGTGGAGGAAGATGGGGCTGTGCTTCTGCTGGCTGTTACAGGGGCAGTGTCCATGGCAGCAGGATCACTGCCTGCAGTGACCTCTACAAAGAGCAACGAGCTGATAAATTCCACAGCTACCTTTTTGTTTAGTGTAATCTGAACCAGGGTGTATGTCCCTTTAAGCTGTGAGGACGGGTTAGCAACCGGGAAGGAAAGCAGAAGTGGGAGAATAGCCCTGGATAGGGGCTGGAGGAGGGTGCAGAGCCCCCCGAGCACAGATAGCCATTTGCAATGTGTTTCCTGTCCTCCCTGAAGGCCTGGAGTGGGGGAGGCAGCACCACTTCTTCCCTGGCCCCACGACACTGATTCATTTCACACTTCCCCCCACCCTAAATATAGGTGGTGACTCAAAGAACTCGCTGACATGGCAAAACAAGGAAAAATATTTCCTTCTGACACTAAGGGCTGGAGTAGGACCCTGGTTCCCCTTTACTCAGCCAGCAGAGAAGCCATCTTCAAGGTGGAGTTGGCATCAGAAATCCAGCTGGTTGTGACTCTGGTGTCCACAGCACTGCTGTGCTCCGTGAACAACTGCAGCAATGGGCTTTCCTCAGCTGTTTAGCTTTCCTGTGCCTCAGTTTCCTCTCCCCAACATGAATAATAATGCTGGCTCACTTCATGATGTTTTGATGGTATCTGCGAGGAGAAAGCTGTGTGTGAGTCCACGATACACATGAGGAGGTGTAAAATTCAGCACCTGGAGAAAAAAAGCCAGTCTTCCCAAAGGATATGCACTGATCTCCCACTCTGCAGACGCTTTCCAGGTCTGCTCTGGCTCATCACAACACCACTGCAACAGAGAGCCCCATCCACCAAGCTTGACTTAAGCTCCACCAAATGGTGCTATGGGCTAACCTGGCTCATAGGGCAGCTCCAGCTCTACCACAAAAGGAAAACTGTTGCAAGAAGAGGCAAAACCCAACAGAAACAATTTCCAAGCTAACATCTGTCCTAATCAGCTCCAGATTATTATTATTCCTGTCCCAGAGGTCTAAATGTTCACATGGCAGGGAAGGGGGAAGGGCAGGGGCTGGTGTTTTCTTCTCTGAGATTTATTCCTTGGAGTATCAGGCCATATTGGTCTGGTGGGAGAGAGAATGGGTGGAGTGATGTGAGCCAAAAAGCCAGTCTGAATGCCAAGCTCAGCCTTTTCCTGATGCTGAGATACTCTGTGCTCAGCGGTGTGAACTCCTCTTTAGGGATCGCTTTTGCATCCTCACTCTCTCTTTCCCTTGCAGGCTCAGCATCCCCAGTGATCAGCCCTGCCCTCCCTGCTCTGGTTGTCAACACGGGTGACCCAGTCACCCTGCGCTGCTCAGGGGAGTCTGAAGTCGAATGGATTAAACAAAGGAACGCGTTCAGGAACCACACCATCAGCACACTCAGTATTCCCAAGGCCACTTACAAGAACACTGGCACCTACAGCTGTGCTCATGTCAACAGCAGTGACAAGGGCATTGCAGCTGTCCACCTGTTTGTGAGAGGTAACCGTGCTGCTCTCTTTCTGCATCCAGAACAGCCTTCTTCCAGGGAGCACAGCCACTACACAGGTCCTGTCTACAGCTGTGGCTGTGTGTGTTTTTGGGGAGCAGAGTAGGCTGCTGGTGGGGCAGTGCCTCACCCACAGCCAAGTCCACACAAAATGGGGCCCATGGCTGAAGCCCTGGGGTAAGAGCTGCATCTCGTGCATATTTGAGAATTTCCTGGATCTCTCCCTCTCTCTGCTGTGGCTTCCCTTCCTGAAAAACCAGGGATGAAAGTCAGTTCAGTGTCGTAATGAGCTGTGAGATCTCCAAATCAGAGAGCTATATTGCCAGCACCTCAGATAAGGGATAGAGTCACGTGGATCACATCCTCACAACATGACCTGAACTGAAAATATTATTTTATCTCCCAGAAGAAGTTATGCTGTGGTGGCTCCACCACTTGACTTCATCCCTTCCCTTGTACCAGAGGTTCTGTCCTGGGCAGGGAAGCTGGAGGTGTGATAAATAAAGCTAACACCATGGTGAAAAGTTTAGTTAGAGGTAAGCATATTTCTCAGCCTCTCCTGTCTGTGTGCATTTGTGAGCTGATTGCTGTGACCCCCTCAAACGGCTTAGCTGGAATTGGGCTTGTCGTGTGAGTGTTTGGAGGCTGAGTCAGGCAGGCGTTGAGCAGGGCTGCCCCAGCATCAAACTCCCACTGGGAAGCAATGCTGGAGACCTGCCTTGTCAGGAATGTGTTTCTCAGCTTCAGTGTGTTTTCTGGTCCTGTTCTCCAGCCTGTCTCGTCTCCTCTGCAGATCCCGACAATGTGTGGTACACCCCAGAATTCCGGGTCCTTGGTACGGAAGGCGGCAATGTTGATCTCCCCTGTCTCATCACGGCCCCTGAGTATGGATCCAATGTGACTCTGACAACGGATGGTGCCTCTCCTCTCCCACCTGGGACCAACTACTCTTTCAGTGCTGAGAAAGGAATAAGACTGTACAATGTGCAAAGCAAGCACAAGGGTTATTACCGATGCCAAGCAGAGATAAATGGAAAAATAAAGAAATCACCAAGAATAAGACTGGTTATGGAAGAAGGTAAAGGGTTGGGGTTGTTGCTGTCTTCAGGGCCACCAATAGCTAAACAGTAGATAGTTAAAGAAAAGCTCCTTCCTGGTGGCAGGAAAGACCTTCTGAACCTGCAGTTTCTAAAGTGGAGGTCAAATTCCATCAGTCTCTGGTAAATTGTTTCCTGCAGGTGGGTTTACATGGGCTCAGCAATCTTCGAAACTTTGCAGGCACTATCACAGATCAGAGAAAAATGTCCACCAATCTCTCCAATGTTCTGCAAGTCCTCAGGCCTTGATGCTCCATCTGTAACCATGGCAGAAGCTTCCCCTTCCCTTCCAACCCACAGTGCTGACTCCCACTGAGTGCTGTGTCCTCCCCCACCTGTCCTGCTCCCCACAGACACAAGCACAAAAGGGATCACCAGGGAAGGAGAAGGCTGGGGGTAAAGAGATTAAAAAGAATGGAAAGGAGAAGGTAGAGTCATAAAGTAGAATCATAGAATAGTTTGGGTGGGAAGGGGCCTTAAAAATCACCTAGTTCCAAACTCACTGCCATTGGGCAGTGACGCCACCCACTAGATCAGGTTGCTCAGGGGACCATCCACGCTGGTCAGGAACACTTCCAGGGATGGGACATCCACAATTTCTCTGGGCAGCCAGTGCCATCCAAGTTGGCCAGGTCCTGGGGAGTTGTCCAAAGCACATGGAGTCACCCGGACCAGCTGACGTTGAATCTCTCCCTGCTTGCCTTTCTGTAGCACCGACCAAGCCTGTGTCAGTGGTGATGGACCCTGCAGACCACGTGCGAATCGTGGGCGAAGCCTTCCAGGTCACTTGCAGAGTAACTGCCCCTTCCCACAGGTTTAACATCAGATGGGAGACAGCAGCAAAGAGTGTAAGTCGGGCATCTTCGATGGGGTTTGGGGCTTTCCTGGAAACTGGGGGGCATAGGGTGGTAAGAACTGCCCACATCCATTCACCTGCAGCAAAGCCATGCTGTAAAAATCTGAATATCCTTTCTTTGGGATGACATTGTCAGGATCTTGCTGCAAGAGAGGAGGAGAATATGTTGTTTCAGCTGAGTTCATTGGGCAGGAGCCATAGTACCTATTAAGGCAACATTTCTCCACCCAGCCCTGCCAGGGCTTATAAACCAGCAAACGTGTTCAGGACACACAATTCTCCAGAGAAAAGACACGGGTGAAAAAAGGGAATGCATTTCAAAATCTCTGCTGACTTTTAACTGCTAGATGGTTAGATAAGGTTTGCCAGAAGTCCTTATTGTGTCTGATGTCTTTATTAAGGAGTTGAAATAACATGCAAGGACTGTTTGGATCACAGAGTGTGAGGCCAAGTTGCAGTCAGAAGGCTGACAATAGCTATAGCCTAACTGCTGTGGAATATCTGCCCTGCATACCTGGGTTTAATCTGCCTCTGGGTCTCCACACGGTTTGCTCTGAGTGATGTACTCTCTGGGCCAGAACAAGAATGGGTGTGTACGCTTGTCTGAAGTGTTCAATTCATCCTCTGCCCTTCCAATGTCTGATGCTCCCTCTCTGCCTGACAGGTCCTGAGAAAAAAAAATCTTGACTTTGGAAATGGTAACTACTTCGTCAATGACACCCTGACTGTTCCAGCTGTGACCATGGAAGACAGTGGGAAATACATCTGTATAGCTAACAATTCAGTAGGATTCAGGAATGCCTCAGCAGTGCTTCAGGTGGTAGGTGAGTACTTGCCCACAAGACCAGGGAACACTGAATCACACCTAGCCTTGAGTATTTGTTGCTTCTGCCTCCATCCTGCTCCTAGTTTTGTTTTTGGAAACATAGTTCTCACTTGTGCCTGAAGGCTCATGTGACAAGCAGGGAACTGCTAGGAAAGGAACTGGTGTTCCTTTCACATCTTGAGGGGCAGGAGGACATATTTTGGATTCTGGATGAAAAACTGAAGTGCTCTTTTCAGTCTCTGTGTGTTTATATAAAGCCTTAAAATAATAAAAAAGAACGAGGCAAGGTTGTGCTGAAGACCAGGAAGGGCAAGACAGGTGAGCAGAGTATTGATCTTTGTCTCTTCCAGTCACAGACCCACATAAGAGGACCCAGGTCTGTTATACAGTTGTTTGTATCTCAAGATGGAAAATCCATCCTCGCAGTTTGTAGGCTGGGGTTTGCTGATCCAAAGCCGCTGCATTCCATGGCTCAGAAAGAGGGCTTGGAATGAATTGTTTCCAAGTGAGAAGCCAGGAGTTTAGCTGAAAGGGCCTGTCTCTTATGAACAAGTAGGAGATACAGTTTTAGCCTCATCCCTTCTTAGGATACAGCATGTAAAACCTCTTTCCCCATGAGAGTTCACTAAGGTTTTCGAGCTCCCCTCAGGCAGTGTAAACCAAGCTGCCATGACAAAGAAGCAATTTAGAAGTACTCCATTGGCAACACAACCTGTGTAATGTCTCATTCCCTCCTGCAGTCTCTTAGCTGAGGCTGCCCTTTCCAATGATGATCTGTTTATGAAGCTGGCATAAGCTTGTTCCAGGTCTCTGGACGTGCCTGCTGATGTTCATACTCTCCTCCACCCTGCAGAGAGAGGTTATGTGTTCCTGACCCCAGGGGACGCCACCAGCCAGGAGGTTGCTTTGGGAGAGAGTCTGAATCTGCAGGTCCACATTAAAGCTTACCCAAAACTTCTCCACTGGGGCTGGGAACACACAAACCCCTTGAAGAACTCTGGGAGCACCATATTCAAGGGCCAAATGATCTCTGGAAACAACTGGTATGTGCTCTTTGTCTTCTGCACTGGCTATGGCATGTTTCCAGCAATGCTTTCCTTCAGACAGGCAGGCCCCATTCTACAGAAAACTATCAGATTTTGAAGAGGGGAACTGTTCTCCATTTCTGTCTTCTCTTTTCAGTATCATTAGCAAACCACACTGAGGAGGTATGCTCAGTTCAAGGAGGACACCACCCCTCTCTAACTTGGCAGCCTCCTCTTTAGAAAAGCTTGTGGAAGTCAGCATCACATTTGTGATCTGGTTGTTCAAGCCTGCACTCTCCTCGCAGGAAGAAATTGCAGAGGTGGATGATCAGTACAGAAAACTTTAATTCCCTCACTGCTCCTTGGAGCTGTCCCATGCTCTGAGGTCTGGAGAGCGTGTACTGAGTGACACTATATGCCCATCTCTAGAGAAGGCAGAAACATCATTATGTGGATATGATCTAATGGAGGGCACAGGCCTGCTCTTCCAAAGCCTGCAGCCAACTGAGACCAAAAGGAGACCGAGAGAAAATCATTCCATTTGGAAAATCATTCCATTTGTTGGGGCGTTTTGGCAATTCCCCTTTCATTTTCTTAGAAACCAAAAATAATCCACAAGAGGAAGTGTGGCATTTATCAAGGGTGATAGCTTTAGGGTGCAGCAGCATCTCACTGAGCACAGCCTGTGTGGTCTTCACTGTTTTTACTCTCTCTTTGAGCAGGTACAACAACACTCTCTTCCTGAACCGCCTGCAGGAGGGAGAGGGAGGGCTCTACACCTTTCATGCCCTCAACAATGAGACCAGTGCATCAGTTACCTTCAGTATCTCTCTGAAATGTAAGTGCTTGCCCATTCTTTCGGTCTGCTTGCCCTGGGGCTGCTTCCCAGCTGGAAGCAAATTCAGTGGAGTACCAGGGTGCTTCCAGCTCAGGACCCACAGGGCACACAGCCCCATTCAGAACCTGCCAATGAGCAGCACAGGGGCTGCTGCTGTTTTATTGCTGCACACATGGAAAGTGAACCCAGAGCATGGTGGATGTGCTCTTCCTCTGATCACAGCATTCACTGCTTATGTGACTTCCCCAACAGCTTCTCCATCGGTCTGCAAAATCAAGGTGCCAGCCAACGACTCCAGCATCCTCCAGTGCTTGGCCCTTGGCTACCCTGCCCCACGCATTGAGTGGTACCAGTGCCCCCTGCACTCTGACAGGTAAGAAATGCCCAGCAGGATGAGCACCTCCAAGGTGGGCACTTGCCCTTGCCGTGCTGGCATTTGCTGAGCGCCACCACATGGGCTCCCTTGCAGGCAACAGGGCAGAGCCTGTTCAGTAACAGCAACAGGGATGTTGCTCTGCTGAAAAAAGAGGTTCTTGGGGACTGCCTGAATAGGGGGGGCACATTTCGCTCCTGAAGTCTTGAGCTTGAAGAGGTTGACCAGCTGTGATTCATGTTCTTTCCATGCTTTTCTGAGGAACATGTGGATTCCTTAGAGAAGTGTCCTGGTGTACGTTGCTGTAGAGCTACATCCTGGGTGGTGCAGTCATATTTCTGGGACCTCCAAAGGTCTGAGGCTCTGCAGAGCACAGGTTCACTGAGCTACAGCATCTGCAGCTGCCTGGACACAGCTGTTGTGTCTCAGCACCAGCCCCACTGAAGGCACTGCTGGCAGAACTCAGCTCAGGCTCTGCCTATACAGGGCTGTGGTGTTCAGGGAGAGGATTTAACTGGGCAGAGAGCACAGTTATGTTTAACTTAGACCTGCAACCCTAATTGCCCACGTCTCCTCTCTAGTCTGACACAGGCAGTGATTCACCTGAGAGCTGCTGTGCTGCAGGGCAGCACTCATGCTCTCCTGCTCGCTGTCTCTGCAGATACAATGAGGACTATAGGTTGCTACGGAATGACTCCAGGCCCCAGGTGGTGAGCATGCTGCCCTTCCAAGAGGTGGAGGTGGAGAGCAGCATCCCCTTCCAGGAGCTGGGTGCCAATTTCACCTTCTGCTGTGTGGCCATTAACGGAGAAGGCAACGCTTCTGACATGTTTCACTCGCTCACCATCACCAGTAAGATACAAACTGGTAGCTTGTCAGAACCTGGCGGCTTTGAGGGCCCATTGTCCTGTTTGTATTTTCCCCTGTCTTGCAAGGGCAGTGGAATAGATTCCACAGGCCCTGTACCTAGTGCTGTTTGGGTGGAAATTGGGGTGCATTGGGGGAACAATTACGGCCTTGAGTTTGGCATCAGCTACCAGCAGCTCCCAAAAGCGTGTCTCTGTGTTGCACACAGGGGAAGCTGAAGTGAATAGCTGGGCAAAATGCTCCCAGAGATGGGATTGAAAAGGGACTGTTTTACCCATTCTCCTTTTCTTTCTCTTCCAGGAAGTGTCATGGCCCCCCCAAACAAGCTCTTCAGCCCCATTCTCTCCACCTGCATAGGGGCGTTGGTGCTGCTGCTCCTCCTACTCCTCTTCCTCCTCTACAAGTACAACCAGGTCAGATTCCCTGTTACATTGCAAGGGCTGTCCAGCCTCAGAGGCCACACAGCCTCCACTGGCAGCCACAGGCAGGGATCATTCAGCTTGGAGGTACCAGGCAAGCTCTCTCCCACACCTCCACTGCCTCCCAGCTTCCCCCAGGAGTTTCCTGCTGCAGGGCAAAGCTCAGGCACCAAACCCAGGGTGTTAACACCTCTCCTGCCCCAGTCCCTCAGTCTTGTAGCCCCCAGAGGTCAGTGTGGTTATTGTTTGGTGCCAGACAAAGGTGCTGACTCTGTGCTGTCAGTTGCAGCTGGTTTTGCTTTGGTCACCATAAAACCATGGACTGAATTAAGGAAGAAAAAAAGCGGTTTGCAGTTTGCATTTACTTTTTATTCTCCTCACTGTTTTATAAAAGCTGTCTTTATGGGGAAACAGGATGATGTTAGAAGGAGTTTGTCTCCAGGAAGTCTTGGTCACTATTTTTATATAAGAACTTGCCCCATTTTCTCTGCAAGACTCATTTTCAGAATTTGGATTCCTTCTCTGTTGTTTCCTTAAACTGAACCAATCAGTAGCCACCTCTGCTTCATCAGTGGGTGAAAGTCACCTGGTTTTCAGCTCTCCCTTTTGGCACCCTTCCTTTGACAGCCTAACAAGGCTGCAAATTTTGCAGCAAAGTTCTGGTGCTGGCTGTCAGAAGATCCATCAAATCCCTCTCTCAGACAAGCACCTACAGCTTTGCAGGGAGAGCTGCCTTTGGCCAGTGGTCCAGAGACAGAGAGAACAGTCAATCAGTGTATAAGCACATATCTGAAAAAAATAGTTTTTAGGAAGGGCTTGCAAGCCCAAGAGAAGCAGGACATGGTTATAAATAACAGGGTTACCTATCTCAGCCATGGGCTCAGGAAGCTTCTCTGCTCCAGCACTGCCTTGCCTCCTTACTTCTGCCATGAGATTCTTAGAAAAGAGAAGAAATTTTTACTTCTCTTTCTCCATTTCTTTTTTTTTTTCCCCTGTAAGGGAAGTGGGGCTTGGCCAGCTCCACCATTCTGCTGTGCTCAGCAACCAGGGTACCAAGGAAGGAGACACAGTGGGGACATCTCCCCCCAGCACCAGCTGGGCACTGTCAGCCACTGCTCTGGTGGGACATGTCTGCTGGCTCTCATAGCTCTGCCATTCCAAATGCAATGCTTTCACTGAAAGAGGCAAGAGAATCTCCCTGTCATGAGTGATGACTTGGGGGGACTTTATAACAGCAAAGGGACCAGCCTGTCCAGACAAAGCCTCTCTCATTCAGTCCAGGTTCAAAGTAAGGGGTATTTGCTGGGCTGAAATCTGTGTCTCCCCTCGGTGCCTGCAGAGTGAGAGGTAGAGGGGGTGCTGGGGATGGGGAACACTCAGAACTCGAGGGACACTGAGTAACTGGAGCCTCTTCCTTACAGAAACCCAAGTACCAGGTGCGGTGGAAGATCATCGAGGCCTGTGAAGGGAATAACTACATCTTCATTGATCCCACTCAGCTGCCATACAATGAAAAATGGGAGTTTCCCAGGAATAACCTCCAGTTTGGTAAGAAACCTTCTGTGCTGCTTGCCTGGGAGCATGAAGGTCATCATAGAGCTGAAATGCCCCAAGGGTCAGAGCCAAAGCTTTGGGCAATACCCAAAGCTGCATCCAGGCATTAGAGCAGCATCCTTAACCAGGCCTGGCTGCCCTCTTCCCCACTTTGGGGTGGCAAAGGGTAGGGTGCAAAACCTCCCTCCATCTTCCATTGCTCCAAGAAAGGTTGTGAGGGTTATTCCCAAGACACAGAGCTGGTGAGGCATGTTTGGAAACGGCCTTTTCCTCCCCATTTTTGCTCACAGCAGAGTTCCTCATGGATGTTAGCCAGCTCCTAGATGACTAAGGTACGTGTCATCTTCTCTGAGCCCAGCAGGAATCCCCACCCACCAGACATCCTCCTCAAGGCTAGGTGCAGGACAACTGCTAGATCTTTTTCTATAAAGCATCTTAAAAGTACCGTTTTTTCTCTCTCTACAGGAAAAACTCTTGGAGCAGGTGCCTTTGGAAAAGTGGTAGAAGCCACTGCTATTGGGCTGGGCAAAGAAGATTCGGTCCTCAAAGTGGCTGTGAAGATGCTAAAGTGTAAGCACAGAGCAATTTGTGAAGGCTGAAATCCCCCAAACCCCTTTGGGCAGGGTGTAGTCTGTGTTCACCATGTGTGGGTGCCCCCCAGGCTGCAACATCTACTTTTTAGAGATGTTTCTGTGACAAGTACCAGGTGCTGGAATCACATTACTGTCATTTTTGTGGGCATGGGATGCCAGAGGAACAGGAGACACAGTTTCCTCTCTGAGTGTGTCTCCTCCTTTTGTTCCAAATATCTGTCTGTACCTTTTTCTGTCCTCCCCCTTCATATCTTGCTTGTCCCTCCCTCACTCCTTCACAAAGTCCTTCTCTCCTCTTGCAGCATCAGCAGACACGGATGAGCAGGAGGCTCTCATGTCTGAGCTGAAGATCATGAGTCACTTGGGACACCACAAGAACATTGTTAACCTGCTGGGAGCATGTACCTATGGAGGTAGGATCCGACAGCCCTGCTACCCCCACGGACCCCTCCCATGGCCTGCTCCTCTGGGGCTCTGACCTGTCCTCACCTGTCACACCACAGAGCGAGCTGATGAGCTCTCTGACCCGGGGACAGCAATCCTCAGGGCAGGTCACAGTAACACCATTTCTTAATGAACCCTTTCTGCTGCTCTCCCAGGCCCCATCCTTGTCATCACCGAGTACTGTCGCTATGGAGATCTGCTGAATTTCCTGAGGAGGAAGGCTGAATCCATAATTATCCAGGATTCTGCCCTGGACACCTCTTTAGACAGCGCTGCTGATTACAAAAACATTGACCTAGAGAAAAAATACATCCGCAGGTAAGAGCAGAGCTCGGGGGGCCACAGGGCTGAGCAACACAGGCCTGGGGTAGAAATGTGCAGAGCACTGTGCTGGGGAGAGATTGAGGTCAAAGGTCTGGGGACTGGCAGGATACCAGGATGTCAAAGTCACATGGGTTGCATGTGTTGAGACCTGGTTATAGTTCCGAGTTTTTCAAAGATTTTGACAGTAGTCATTGAACATCCCACAATAAATCCAGGTTTTTGTCCAGCCTGTCCTCTCACAATCTAGAATCAAAACTTCTGGCCTTCCTGCACTGTTGGGCATTTTTTAGGACGATGCTGCCCATCAGCCAGGAGCTTAACAAAAGGGGAGCAGTACTTGGAGCCCCATAACACAGGGCACCAGGGCTGGGTTTTTCTCCCCTTTCTGAATGAGCTCCATCATTGCCTTTCCCTTTGCCCTTAAGCCTCTGGCTAAGTCACCTCCTGCAATCAGGGATGTGTTTTTTCCTCTCGGTGGATGTGGAGCAGGCAGAAGGTACTGCTGGAGAGTGCTAACAGCTTGCCCCCATCTCTGTTGCTTCCCATTCAGCGACAGTGGCTTTTCCAGCCAGGGTTTGGAAACATATGTTGAAATGAGGCCTGTGTCGTCATCATCATCTTCAGTAGCATCAGATTCTGCGCAAGTCAGGGGTGAGTCAAAGGCTCGTTTCTGAGATTTCATGATTTCTTTCTTTTGGCCACCCTGTCTGGTTTAGCTCTGGGAACCACAACACGCCGCAGCTTCTGTTACTCGCCAGGTTTGCAGCAAATCTAAATCTCTGCTTTGAATTTCAGGGAGAAGCTCGGAGGAGGAAGATGAAGCCAGGGAGGATCTCCGTCCCCTCAATCTCTCTGACCTGCTGCAGTTCTCCAGCCAGGTGGCCCAGGGCATGGCATTCCTTGCATCAAAGAACGTGAGTGCCAAGAGGACAACTGCCCTCAATGCCCCAGCCGGGAAACACCAGTCCAGCCAGGCAGGATCCAGCCACCCTGTCTGCAGAAGGCTTGGGATGTCTTTGGATGGGGTGGCCAAGCTCAAGCAAGCTGCTGCTGGAAATGGGCCTCTCTGCTCTGTCTGTTGGGTTCAAACAGCCTGGACCATGGTGACTGGTGTTCCCTCCAGAGTCTTTGTCTCTCTGGGCCATCACGGAAGGGCAGTCAGTGTTACAGGGGGGAACCCAGGGCTGTGCATCATGCCAATCTCAACATTTTCTCCCCTGCTTTTACACGAGGTCAGGAACTTTGTTGTGAAGCTTTCTTGCTTTGGCAGCGTCCCTGCTGCCCCAGGGACAAGGAACTGAAAGTGGCCGTTGAGCTGCCTGCCAGAGCTGGCTCAGAGAGGCAGAGTCACCGTTTCAGAGATGAGGACACAGTGCCAACAGCCCCTGGTTCTGAGCCTCCTAAACAGACCCATGAGTGATTAAAGGACATGGCATGAAATGTCAGTGTCTTAACATTGCAAAGGAAATGCTTGAAAGTGAGCCCACATTCTGTACATGACACGGTGCCTCTGACGGGGGCTTTTCAAGCAGCACTGTCAAGTGTTCTCCTTGCTCCTACAAGTTTTGGTGACAGGCCCAGGCTGTAGGGGTTATTTGGGACTGCTGGTGGCTGCTGCCTGGGTCTCAGCTGTGCTCTTGTTCTCCCCAGTGCATCCACCGTGACTTAGCAGCCAGGAACGTGCTCATATCAGATGGACGGGTAGCCAAGATCTGCGACTTCGGCCTGGCCCGGGACATCATGAATGACTCAAATTACGTTGTAAAAGGCAATGTAAGTGATTAAAATGGGCACAAGAGAAAGCACAATGGCAGGGTGGGGCTGGAACAGGAAAGACAGGGTACAGCAGAAGCTGCCAGCTTGTCCTAGCCTGCGGGACTCTCTGCTCTTCCAGGCCCGCCTGCCCGTGAAATGGATGGCCCCAGAGAGCATCTTTGACTGCATTTACACAGTGCAGAGTGACGTGTGGTCCTACGGCATCCTGCTCTGGGAGATCTTCTCCCTCGGTAAGAAAGAAGCGAGCTTGCAAACCAGTTTCGTTTTCCACGGCTCACTACTGCCCTAACGTCTTTGCAAAAAAAATTTCCAAGAAAGGAGGAAGGTTGACAAAAATCTAGCTTTATCAGGGCTATAAAACACCGTGTTAAGCTTCCAGAGGGACCATTGAAAACAATGCATTCTGGATTATCTGCTCTAACTTAGAACTCCCTGAGTAGCACCTGCTCAACTGATGCTCCAGGCTTCCTCTTCCCACCCCTCGTGGCTGGAGTGTTAAAGCCTCTGGTCTGAGAGCCACCTCTGCTTGTGTTACTGCCACAGGGAAAAGCCCATATCCTGGCATGGTGGTGAACAGCAAGTTCTACAGCATGGTGAAGCAGGGATACCAGATGGCCAGGCCCGACTTCGCTCCCTTGGAGATGTGAGTGGACAAAGGCCTGCTCAGTGTTGTGTCCCTGTCACACAGAGGGCTGCAGGGAAGAGCCCGGGGCTCGGATGTGCAGCAGCACCACGAACCTGCTCTATCCCTGTCTGGCCCTGCAGGTACAGCATCATGCAGGCCTGCTGGAGCCTGGAGCCCACACGGAGACCGACCTTCGACCAGATCGGCTGCTTCATCCAGAAGGAACTGGAGGTGCATAAGGAGCAGGTGAGGGCCTTTGGAGAAGAGAAGGGCGGAGATCTGTCTTCCCTCTACATGAACACAGCTCCTGGACAACTTTTGTGATGTCCCTTGCTGTTAGCTGATGGGAGCAGTGTAGTGCTGGTGGGAAGTGCAAAGAGGCATCCGGATTTCCCCTTGCTGAAGGGTAAAGTCACTCCCCACCGTGACCAAAGAGAGATGGACAAAGAAATGTGGCTGCTTGGCAGAAACCTCACCTGGGCAGTGATAAACTGCCAGCACAGCAGCCTGCCCCATTCCCCTGGGTTTGCTGTGCACTCTCTCGGGACTGGCTGTCACAAAAAAACAGGCACATGCCTGCCCTGCCAGCTGGTCACGCCCTGTGGGCACAGCAGAGGGTGGTGGTGTGGAGTGAGCATCCCCAGCTGGTCACCCACATGGAAACAGGTGTTGTACACCACCAAAGGGACTGGAACAATTTGGGGTGATGTGTTTTTTCCTTTTCTTTCAAGGACTACACCAACCTCCCCTCCACTGCTGAGGAAGACAGTGGCTGTGACACCTCTGGCTGCTGTGAGGAGTCCTGCGAGCAAGAGGAGACCGGGCAGCCCCTCCTCAAGAGCAACAACTACCAGTTCTGTTAGCTGGGACCATGACCCTGGGGTTAATCCTTGTCCAGGCTCTGCAGAGCTCACGGTTCTGCTCTGCCCTAGGATCCAGATGCCTTCTGCTTTGGCCCTCTCTGTGCTTTCTGAAGTGTGAGTGTTACCGACTCCCTCACCAAAAGGAGAGTGAAGAAGTGACTCAAAACCACGACTCACCACGGGGTCCCCAAGGTCTTATCTTACACCCAGCATAGAGCTGGGAGGATGGTTAACAGGCTCCATCTCTACAAGGTACACAGAGGTCCCCAGCACCTGCCTCCCCACTCCCCAGAGGAGGCTGTGAGAGTTTGGGTTTTGTGGGTTTTTTTTTAAATACCAGTCACAGCCCAGTAAATCACTGACCCCTTGTGTTTTATAAGCACATCTTGAAGTAAGTCCTGACACTGGAACTGCTCCACACACCCTCTTTCTTGGTAGTCCTGCTCTCCTCCCTTTGTCAGTCTGACCCTGGATGGTGCAGAGTGAGTGTTTAGATATAGGTGAAGCTTTTACGTAGCATTAAATATGCATTAACCCCTACACTTCCTCATGAAATCGACCTCCCCGCAGCTGATGCTTCTGCAGGGAGTGTTTGGGTGAGGTGAACCATGGAGCCAACCCCAGGGTTATGTGAACTTGTGCCCCAGTAACAGGACAGAGGGGCAGCTCTTTCTCAGGTAAAATACAGCAAGAAACCAGTGCTCTTTCATGCGAGCACTGAACACAACCCCAATCCAGGAAAGAATGGCAGCTGAAACAGGTCTGAAAATTATTGACATAACACATATCCTACAGAACTTCTGACTTACTGAACATGTAGCAATCACTGCCTTTGTTACGATTACAGACATGCTCGTGGATGTAATTTCCTCAATGTATTTTTAATAGAACAGCTGAGGTGATTTTTTTTCCATAAGCTAGGGCCTAATGCCCTTCAAACTTATTTCTCAGCTAGCTCTTGCTCAGGGTTACTACGGCCCCAGCCACCCAGTCTGGTGTACCAGAAGCAGCTAGAGAACCTTCTCAGCTTCACCTGCTGGGTGGGTAAAGGATCCGTATTCCAGGTACAAGCCCTGACAGGGCTTGGGCAAATTACAACACCTGCATTGCAGGTGGCCTTTGTCACACTGCGAGCAATTATACTGTGGACCATTTCTGATTACATTAAACCTGGTTTTATGCTAACACCAAGTGATTCATTCCTCCTTACTAAATGAAAAGTTAATGTAACTCCTATCTGTCAGCATTAAAAAAAAAAAAATAAAATAAAGTAAGATGTTTAACAAAATGAGTCCCTTCCAGGGCTCTAAGGACTGTTCTCACAGGGGAATGGCTCAGAGCATGGGTGATGCACTGACCCATCCACTCACCCTGCAACTCTGCTCCAGCTCCTCATTACCAGTTCTCAAAATCACTCATTCTTGTGTAATGAAAAAACTTATTAAAAGCAAGGTTTTAAAGCACTTTGCTCTGAAGCAGTTCCTGTGCATGGATGTAATTTCAACTGTGATGATGAGACATCTGACAATGGTCACTCTGGGAAAGTGCAACACTGAGGGCAGGGTAAATGCAGTGGAGGCTCTGACAGTGTTTGTGCCCCTTCCCACTTCAGCCCTCTAGAGACCCTGTACCCAAAAAACCAAGTCACAGCCACAGTTTCACCCCCAAAATTGGAGATAATTTATTAAACTTTATCACTGACTGAAAAAAGTCACTAATGTCTCTTATAATAAGTTAATGTTCTTAACAGAAAAACCCCAAGCCGTGATTACTGCATTTGCTCAGACTTTAACATTTACTTTAACAGTATGGTACTCAATTGGTTCCCCTTCACAGAAGGGAGTTTTCATCTACACCGCAAGCCTTGGAATCTTCCCCACTGCTCACTCAGGCAAAACAAACTCCCAAGATGGCAACCTAGCAGTCTGGCATCCTGCTTCTCTCCCCTGAGGGTCACAGCAAGCATCCACCCGCCTTCACCACCAGCAATGGCCAAAGGGAGCTGCAGGTGACACGCACAGATTTGCAACTGCAGGTCAAGCTGTTCTTCAGGTTTGTGCTGCAGCAGCAGAGGTCTCAGCCCGACTCCTCTCAAGGAGCTGACAAGGCAACCTGGGCAGCAGGAGACTCCTCCAACCCCAGAGCGCTGGGAGGACACAGACAGGGCAGGTTTGACACCTGACAGTGCCGCGATTGCACACGTGTGTGCAGCTCTCCCAGCGCATCCATGAGGGTGGATATGGAACCCTGCTTGCTCTGGTGACACTGCATTCATCCTTCCTCCTTGATCCCAGAGACAGTCTTTGACTGTCCTTCCCATCTCCACAGTCAGCCCCTTGCACAGCACTCCTACCATCCCCCAACCAGCACAGCTCCCTGGGGCTCACCTGGTCAGGTCTTACCTTACCATGCAGAACATACCTCACTCACTGTATGTTTTGGTTTCTAAATGATTAGTGCTCATGTGAAAGGGACAAACAATTCTCGAAACTCTGCAGCTGAAACACCCACAGTCCTGGGACCCAAGAGCCTCCAGGGAGGCTCCCCAGACACAGCATGTTAAAGCAGCACAGCTCCTTCTCCTCCTCAACTCAAGACTCCTGGCAGCCAATGCATATGAGAGCTATGCAAGATTTCCAAGCAGGAGTCAGTGTCCTAAATTCATCTGTTCAGAATGTTTTTTGGGGAAAAAATCTTTGTAGCCATCTGCTTTTCGTGCCTGCTCCCACGCCCTCAGCCCTGCCACCAATATGCACAAAGAAGTCAGCAAGCAAGATTCAGAACTAAAAAAAAACCTGTGTGCCTGAGCATGCACACTCCCTGCTACCAGCAACACCTCTCCCTCCTCCAGCTGCAGGGAGGGCACCATCCCACAGCCCTGAACAGCAGGTCCATCCCACACCTCATGGGCGGTTGCAGCCTTCAGCAAGGGGGGTGACAGACCCACACTCACAGCAGCCATCACAACACTACGGAAGCACAGAGCTCTTTGGTCAGTAACAGCAGTCAAAGCCACCGGCATCACATCTCCAACCTGCAAAAATAAACTCTCAAGCCAGACAGCTGCAGAAGCTGGCTCAGCCCACCCCTCCACACGACCAGAGAGAGAAACCAACGAGTTGTTTCGTTACTCAGCAACCCCTCTCATCCTCCTGCTTCCCCTCTTCATCCTCTTCCGTCTCTGTTTTGATCTGGGCCACCCCGAGCCGGTAGAGCGCGTCGCGGATCACCACCTCCCCCGGCTGGCAGCTCTGCACCACCTCCTGGATCTGCCGGTTCACGATTTCCCTGCTGGTCAGGAAGTCCATCAGGCGGTTGTAGAGGTAATAGTGCGTGGGGTTCTCGAAGGTGATGGGCCTTTGGCGGATGTTGCTCGTTTTGCTGTCGCTGACGGCGGCGATGATGGCGCCGTAGGGCTCCAGCTCCCGGCACAGGGAGAGGCAGTGATGCCGTGCCGTGGGATCCCGGGAATTGCTCTGCTCTGACCCCGTGTGAACGATGCGCCGCGCCGATGACTTGGTGATGGGGTGCTGAACGGAGTGCTCAGCCACCGTCACGTCCACGCTGTAGTGCTGGTCCAGCAGCTCAGGGCAGGACACGTACTGCGGGAGAGACACGCGCCGGGTAGGACAAGAAGCAACGTGCCCACAGCTAAGACGACAATACTGGTTGGCTGAACTCAGCCAGCACTCTGACCCAGGACCCTCCTCACTTGTATGCCCTCAGAGACAATCCCAAGGCACCAGCAACCCTCTTCCTCTCCCATTTCTCAAGAAATAGCAGCGGTTTTAAAGAAGTGAGTTGCTGTGTCAAAATAAGTAATGTGCTCCACAGTTCATGACCTGAACTGTTAAAATGCACTCCCAGCACAGCTCTTCCTGTTCAGGACCATTAAACTTAACACAATGCCCCAAGCAACACGTAATGGATTCTGCTATGCCCAAAAGTGATGCACTGGCAAAGCTTAAGTCAGGAGACACTTATCAGGTCAAATTCATCCCTGGCAGTGTTCAAAGCCAGGCTGGACAGGGCTCTGAGCAACCAGGTCTAGTGGAAGGTGTCCATGGTAGAGGGGTGGAACTGGATTATTTTTAAGGGCCCTTCCAACCCAAACCATCCTGTGATTCTACAAAATGGTCTTGAGGCACAATGCAGGTTACATGTGGGGTTTTTTTTTAAATTTTTGTATCTCACTTCAAACTTCTCCATACTGGACTGGCATAGCAGAGAGCAGAGGTAAGACATAACTAACCGCTGGAGGATCCATGGGGTCAGAGAAGCAGCCCTGGTTTTTCCCCCACATCTGGGAGGTCAGGCCAGGCCAGCAGAGGTCTGCACACAGTGCCACTGAAGAGGCTGTATCAACAACGTACACTGGAGGCCAGTGACGTGAGGAAACCAACAAGTCCACGTGATCCCGGGCACTTTCTCCTCTTACTATGTACTTTGAGCCACACACAACCTGGAAAGGAAAGGATTAACAGCATCAGCACAACAAAACTGAAAAGTTACAGAAAAAAATTTAGACTTAAAAAAATTAAGCTTCCTTTCAAGATATTCCAGACTACACAGTAACCAGACAGTTATTTTCTCTAAAGATACTCTGTTTTTTCTTCATACACATAAATTTTATTTTGTTCAGGAAGAGATGGCTCTAAATTCCACCTCAGTAGCAACATAAAGGGTAGGTTTCAGATCATGAGATCTCCTGCAGGACTGCTCATACTCCAAGCCTCAAAGCAGTGTGTTTCATTCCCAAGGCTCACAGAAGCCCATTCCGTTGCTTCTATTTAATGAGGGAGTTCCATGCTGGTAAATCAAATAGTGAACAGCAAGGTAAGAAAAAAACACTGCTGACTCCAGCCTTCCTTACCTGATGTGGACACATTTTGTAGATTTTTCCTCCTGTGTGATGAGCAGAGGGTGGTGTGATGCTTGTGCCATTCTGTACAAACTCATAGAGAGCAAGGAGGGAGTAGCAGAGCTGGTCCTAGAAAAGACAGGTCCCAGAAAAAGTCTGTATGTGCCTAAAATTAATGGACTCCTCCAGAGAGGGAGAAGTCTGCAGGCAAGGTCTCCCAAATCCTAATTTACACTTCACCCAATAACTTCCTAATCCCACACTTAGCACCATGAGGATGACAGGCAATTACACAACACTGAGCCAGTGACAAGGAAATTACAGCCTTCCTTTCTTCTAGCCCACAGAGGTTCAATTTATTTCACCATGTGTAAATTATCCTATAATCTGCTGGCACCCACCCCTGCCCTTAGTGCAGTCAGATGAGAAGTTAATTACCTAAGATGGCAAGAGTGGATGAGGGAAATACAGTGAAGAACAGCTCCACTCCTGCAGGCTTTTGTGTGGGCAAACAAACCATTACCTTTGTATTTGAAGCCTCCCAGGGGATGCCACACTGTGTCAGAAAGCTCTGCAGCTCTTCCTCACTGTAAGTGTTTATCAACTCAGGCCTGAAGACTTCGTCCTGAAGGAGCCTCACCAAGGCACTCCCATTCCCTGCAAAGGTAGGAAACAAGTCTCAGCTCTCCTACTCAGAAAGGGAAATATAATTTCTTATGAAGACTACAGAAGCAGAGATTGTACAACCCACTGCCAGCAAGAGAAAGCTGTGAACAATCCTACTTCCAAAGCACATCACAACCCACACTTGTCTCGAGCCCTTCACTGGTGAGGTCATCAGACTGAGCACAGCAGAGCTGCAGACTCCACAAGCTGGCAAAGCCAGTTTTCCTTCTTACACCTAATACCTAAATTTTTAAGGGAACTAAACTTAGCTTTCATACACCTGAGCTTATTCCTTTCATGGTTTCCTGTTATATGTAGTCAATATGCAGCAGATATACTGAATGCTGACAACACTGATCAGGACTAGCACATCCCTCTCATAGTCTTTTCTCAAGTCCTGTAAGAACTTATTCACCCTTTACTGAGATTGTAGCATTGAGATACCAAGCACTACCTGTAATTTTCACGTGTAAGTATCATGAAACAAACCCTGACTGGCATTCAAGATGTGCACATATCCCTCTGCAATCAGACCCTACCTCATTTGGGGTACAGTGCTCTCATGTCCCCCATGTCTCAAATGCATCAGACCACAACAGTGAACTCAAGCTTTACAGGGAAGAAAAAGCTCAAGCAGCAAATTAGCCTGAGAACAGCCAAAGTCACCCCAGCATTCTTGCCTTCTCTCAGCAGACATAACTTTTAAAATAGACATGCAATCATCAATTCTCAACTCTAAACATGACCAAAAGACTGAAGTCACCAACACATCGAGCACTCCCTTAACAAGCACAACCTGAGCGTTACCTGGCACTGGCTGTGCATCCAGGTTCTTGTCCTTCTCTGTATTGATCACCACTGCTCCTCTCATTAGTGGAGGGAAGAAAGGAGCAACAATAGAGGCATCAAACTTTGTGATGGGGATGCTGGAAGGAA